AAAAAAAAAAAAAGTTAATCATTTATGATACCTAATTTTAGCATACTAGAAACAGGATTTTGTCATTAGTTAGATAAAAAGTTATCTACCCCAAACTTAAATTACATTATAATTAACAGTGAAACTTTGAGAAATATTTTTTTTCTTTTTTTTTAAAGTCAGAATCTTAAGCTGTTGCCCTGGGTGTGGTGGCTCACACCTTTAATCCTAGTACTCTGGGAGGCCAAGATGGGTGGATTGCTTAAGCTCATGAGTTCAAGACCAACCTGAGCAACAGGGAGACCCCGTCTCTGGTAAATGTGAAAAACTGAAGCAAGAGGATCTCTTTAGCCCAAGAGTTCAAGGTTACTGTGAGCTATAATGCCATGGCATTCTACCCAGGGTGACAAAATGAAACTCTGTCAAAAAGAAGAAAAAAAGGTTGGAGCTGTATGAAAGAATGAAGAGCAACAAAATACAGCAGAAAGTCTGTAAGATAACTATCCAAGGGACTGTAACAAACAGGTCAGAGGTGGTCAACATAAGGAACTAGGCCTTAGTATATGTGGTACATGTCTGGCCTGTGAAAATTAGATCAAATTAAGGAGGTGGTCAACTATGCAGGTTCTACTGTAGTTAATATGTAATGAACTATTGTATAAAATGATAGTAATATTTTGGGTTTAAATGACAATAGTAGCATATAAGCCAGAGGTGAAGAAGAACACAAAATAAATAAATGAAGTTAAATCGCATCTAGTTTCTTTCATTGTTCAGGATCAAGATAAAAGAATTAGTAACTTTAGACTTTTATCCATCAAAAATGTCCAAGTACACAAATAATAATACTCTAATTAGCAAATTTGTTTCTCACAGGAGTTTGGTTTAGCAGTTCTGAAACTACTTCATGTGTCTACCTGGATTGAGCAAGTAAAAGTTGTAGATAATGAGATCCAGGGTTAACACTGTCAAAGAAAGAAAGAAAAAAGGAAAGAGAGAGGACTAGTATGAACCCTGGGTGTTTGATTGGAATTATAGGTATCAGTATAAACTCAGGATCTTTTATACACACGCACACACACACACACACACACACACACACACACGCCTCTGGTGCCCAGACTCTAGTTTCTAACATAGTTAAATACAAGAAACTCTGACTCATTGAACTAATGGTTGATTCCAGGACTAGGGCAGGGAAAATGCAAAATGAATCTATAACATCTTGTGGTGCGAGAAAATAAAGATGTACAGAAGAAAGTCTGAGTAAATGTCCAAACAACACAGGAGCCAACCAGAAGAGCCGCCAGTGGCTAATACTAGAACAATTCTAGTTAAAAATAATGAATGTGTACTGGATTAAAAACATAGGCAAAAAGTAAATAGGAGGAGTTCATACTAAAGTGGATGAATGAACGGAGAATGGATAGCTTTCTCTTACAGAATTCCAATTAAGAATTAACCAGGCCAGGCACAGTGGCTCATGCCTGTAATCTTAGCACCTGAGAGGACAAGGTGAGTGGGTGTATTGCCTGAGCTCAGGGGTTGGAGGCTAGCCTAAGCAAGAGTAAGACCCTGTCTCTAAAAATAGCCAGGTGTTGTGGCAGACCCCTGTAGTCCCAGCTACTCAGGAGGCTGAGGTAAAAGGATCACTTTAGCCCAAGAGTTTGAGGTTACTGGGAGCTATGACCCCATGACACTCTACCCAGGGTGACAAAGTGAGACTCTTATCTCAAAAAGAAAAAAATGTTGGCTGAGTGCCCATAGCTAAGTGGTTAGAGCCCTGGCCATGTACACTGGGACTGGTGGGTTTGAATGCAGCCTGGGCCTGCTAAAAATAACAACTACAACAAAAAAGTAGCCAGGCATTGTGGCAGATGCCTGTAGTCCCAGCTACTTGGGAGGCTGAGGCAA